CGTGCCTGAATTCAGCATAAGTTATTGAGCATCTACTACGTGCCATGTGCTGGGGATACAATGGAGAGTGAGACAGATCTTTATAGAAGTTGCAGAGGAGGCAAGTAAGGAGCATACAAGCAATTGCAATGTAGGGATAAGGGTTACCAATAGAGGAAACAGAATTCTATGGAAGCATATGGTGTGGTTCCTAACCTAGTCTAGGAGTTCAAGGGAAGGCTTCCTGAAGGAAATGTTCCAGATTGAGTGCTCAGAACTGTGTGGTTAGAATATAGAGTAGAAAGTGATGAGGCTGGAGAAGGGGCAGAAGCCAAATCATGAAGGACCTTACAAGTCATTTTAAGGAATTTGGGCAAACCCAAGAATATTGGATTTTAAGGGAAGCAATTGAAGGACTTTAAGCAGGAAAGTGGGAAGAGGTAGTGGTGACATAACCTACTGCATTCTAAAAAGATCACTTTGGCTGTAATGTAGGTTGGATTGGAAAATGGAAAGACTAGAAGTATGAAATTTGGGTAGTTGTTAAAAGTAATCCATGATGGTGGTAATCCAAGATGATGATACTTGTACTCACTTATTTGCAATGGAGATAGAAAAGTGGATGGATTTGAGATTGAATACCATAATTTAAGGAGTGGGCAAAGGACACTAAGAGGTGGCCAGCGGGGTAGGGGAAAAACCAGGAGTATGGTGTCATGGAAACCAAAATAAGAGTATTCCAAGAAAGGAATACTGGCCAACAGTGTTAAATACTACTTCCAAGGGCCGGCCCGTGGCTCACTCGGGAGAGTGTGGTGCTGGTAACACCAAGGCATGGGTTTGGATCCTATGTAGGAATGGCCAGTTCGATCACTGGCTGAGTGTGGTGCTGACAACACCAAGCCAAAGGTTAAGATCCCCTTACTGGTCATCTTTTTTTTTTTTTAAATACTACTTCCAAGGGCCGGCCCGTGGCTCACTCGGGAGAGTGCGGTGCTGGTAACACCAAGGCATGGGTTTGGATCCTATGTAGGATACTGGCCAACAGTGTTAAATACTACTTCCAAGGGCCGGCCCGTGGCTCACTCGGGAGAGTGTGGTGCTGGTAACACCAAGGCATGGGTTTGGATCCTATGTAGGGATGGCCAGTTCGATCACTGGCTGAGTGTGGTGCTGACAACACCAAGCCAAAGGTTAAGATCCCCTTACTGGTCATGTTTTTTTTTTTTTTAAATACTACTTCCAGGTCAAGGAAGATAAGGACTGAGCGTTTTCAAAACTGAGGTTCCGGATGACCTTGGCAAAAGCAACCTCAATAGTGAGTGGCAGGCATTGGGATGCAAATTGGCAAAAATTATTATGGAAGCATAGAGTTGAGTTACTTAACTCAGTCTGAGGGAATAGAGAAGTATTCTTGGAGGAGGAATTATTTAAGTGGAGTATTCAGGGACAAATAGGAGTTTGAGGCAGAAGAGGAAAATCTAGGCAGAGAATGCTACGTGCACAATTGATCTTTGGGGGCATTAAAAATAACTGTGACTTTTCAGCAGTTACTTCACTCATCTCATTTATAAAATGGGGATGGTAATATTGATAGTACTTATCTCACAGGATTGTTGACAAAGATTGACATAACTTACATAGAATACCTGGTACACATTAGGGATTCAGTTAATGATAGTTCACTCTTGCCTTATTAAAGCATCACAATGAAACAATACAGATTTTTTAAAGTGAATTTAATTTCTCTCTAGAAACAGTGCACTGATTTTACAGATGTCCACATTTGGTTTTTGGTTCACCAAGATGATATCAGTACAGCTAGTGAGATGTAGCACACAACCTTCAGTCCCTTTGCCTCTGGAAGAGAAACCAGACTGCAAAGGGCACCGAACACAGAAGCTAATGGAACTTGGAATGACAAGACAAAAAGAGTAGAAATGGTTAGTGTGACCCAAGATTCTAACATGCCTGACTGTTACATCAAATACAGTAGTTTGGGGGAGAGAGTGGGAGACAAACAAGGAAGATCCATTTGGGTACAGTGTGATGGAGTTTGCAGACCAGTACTTTAACCCCGAATTAACAAATTGGTATAGAACAAAATGCTATTTTAGAAGCACATGGTTTGTACAAGTATTTGTTTCTCTTGTAGTTTTTGTAAAAAAGTATCAAAACCTTGTCTTTAAATATATATATGTATATATATATACAGGTGACTTTAAAAATTATTTTTTATAACACAAAGTGTTTGCAAATGCAGAGGATTTCTGCTGATTTTAGACTGTGCACATGGTGCATAGCCTGAATGAACAGAGCTTCCTGATTTTTAATATTAACTGAAAATTTGAAGCTGTAATTCCTTCACCTTCTAAATTTCCCATATCCTGAAAATCCCCAATACCCTAAAAATACAGTGTGAGAAAACTCTGATACTTTATCTTCATGCATTCATGGTGAAAGAAATTAACTCATTTATATTCTGTGAAATAATGAGTGTACGGCTGGAGTTTGGGGTCGGGGGGAAAGGCTTGCATTCCTGTGCCTTCTCCCCATTCCCACCAGTGCACAACTAGATAGTGATTGGGGTCCCCTCTCCAGACTCCATGTCTTCAAAATTTCCAGTTTTCTTTCTCACAGTTGAGAAAATTTAAAAGGCTCTTGACAACATGGCATGCTTCTGTGAAAATCCCACTGTCCTTAGTTTTCACTGACCATATAAAAAATCTCGCAAATAAATGCAAAGCAAGTCAACATTTCCCTTTGGCCACTGGAAAGCTTGAGGCTAAATAATGTCACATCTGCAAAGTGCTGGCAACATAGCTTGATGAATTTTCCACGATGCACTTAGTGCCATGTACACAATAAATGACCAAGAAATGTTTGCTTAATTGAGTCAGAAATGAAATATACATATTTTATAAAGTGCTTACATTGAACCTGTCTTTTTGTCAAGCCTCACTTCTTTGTAAGTCCCTGTTAGGCCTTTTGTTCCAGTTATAATGAACTACATGCAGTTCCTTAAAGTCCCCGTGCTGTTTCATGCCTGTGTATTAATTAGCTCAGTGTTTCTTCTGCCAGAAGCAGCCTGGACACCCCTTCTTAATTTTCAAGACATAGCTTAAGTTCACTTCTCATCCCTCATCTCCTCAAGTAGAATGACCCTGTTCTCCTTTGTGCCCTAATAGTACTCCGAATAGAATGTATTCTGTTTTTGTTTCTACATGTCTTCCTCTACTGCTACTGTGAGCTCTGTAACGACAGAAAACGGTTTTGTTTTTTTTTTTTGTGGCTGGCCAGTATAGGGATCCGAACCTGTGACCTTGGTGATATGAGGCTGAGCTCTAGCTAACTGAGCTAACCAGCCAGCCCCGAAAACGTTTGACATTTAAATCTGCAGTGCCTGGCACACAGTTGTTAGTTGGTACCTAGTGAATGGTTTTAGTGAATGAATATACTGCAATCATATAGAGATAACTGGAGGAATCTGTAGTACTTATTTCCATAAATTTAAATCCAATCTCATTCCTTTTGCCAGTTGAGGTTAGTTTACTTCAGTCTGTTTTACAAATAATCATGCTATCAAGAGTAAATAAAGTTTCACTGTTCCTTGTTTCTGGGAGGCCCTTTCTGCCAGTGTCTTTATAATTCCACTGGAAAGATAGGCCATAGGTTAGGTAGCAGATTTGATACAATGTTCAGGCAGCCAAAAGTAGCTTCTTGGAGAAGGAAAGGGTATGAAAGGACTGGGATCAGCCTCTTTTAAATAAATAAAATATTGTCTGATAAATTTTCTGCCTTCTTGGCATAAAATTTCCTTCCAGTTCTATAGTACAATGACTCTATGACCTGTTATTAGCTGTAGATACATATGCACAGGGGACAAAAGGCAACAGAAATGTAACTACACCTCAAAATGAGGCTCAAAACCCTCCAAGAACAGGGGTAAGGTAGATCTGACTCCTCAGATTTCATCTTATTTTCTGCCAGACAACATGTATTTAACAATTTGCTTCTTATAGGTTGCTCCCATAGCTGCCTCTTTCAAACTGCAGTTGTAGCATGTTCAGGGAACATAGATGTCTCTGAGAAAGCTGTGACTTTCATCATAACTTTGAGATCTCGGGCTACATGTCCTGACCCCATTCATTATTTTTTTCTGTGAAGGCCAGGATCTGACTCGAAGTTTAGAAACTGCATTAGCCACTGTTACCATTTAATTTTCCAGGAAGTCCAATTTTTTTGGAGGCAGGTTACAAAAAAGTCACTTGTTTTGTGTAAATTTCAATGTTTTTCGCTTTCGTCATTTTTCTTCAGTCAAAAATAATTTTACTTTCCATTCTTGAAAGAATAGTAGTAAGTAATTAGGCTCCATAGGAGTTGGCCATAGGTATTGGTCATTCTAGGAAAACTGCATGTACCCTCTCAATGAATGTTTCAGGACTATCAACACATGCATATCATGAGGAAATTGATGGCTTATGCAAAATATAGTGCCCAAGCTCTGGAACAGTGTTTTCTTAGAGGTTTGGAGACCATGAGTGACAGAGAGGAAGGTCCCAGGAACAAGAAATAGAACTCCAGAACATCTGCCTGGCCATTCAAAGGGTATCAAGATGGTGAGACATCTAAGCTTCAATGAGTTGGGGGCAACTGTACAGTGTTGGGGGCAACAAGTTCCAGATATGTCTGAAATGACATTTCCCTCCTCTACCTGGAAAACTGCTATTAATTTTCTAAGTGGGGGTGGGGAGGTATTTGCTTAAATGTGTCAAGTTCCAGATATGTTAAGATTAGATATGTGTCTTCCACTCCTACTTGAGACAAACACTGGTGTTGCACCTTGTCTCTGGTTGTCTAGTGGGAGTGAAGTGGCAGAACAGGAGAGTTAAGACCAGACCTCACTTTGGATGAGAAAGCCAGTGGGGACTGAATTCCTCCTGGTACTACAGGATTATGTTTCCAGTGGTAGACCCCACAAGTAGAAAACAGTGGTTTTCCCCACCTCCCACAAGGCCCAAGAAAAGCAAAGGTGTCCATAATGAAAAAAATCTATACATATACCTGGAGTTTTTCCTTTTATTTACAAAGCAGTAAACCAAATCCCTGTGTGACATATATATCCAATATGCTATAATATTGCATATGCCATTTCCTCCTCAAATATGACTTCAGATTTGGCTGGTTTTTCTTACTTAAGCCAAAAATTAGTTTCATCTATATGAACATATGATGGTAAGAAACCTCTTTATTTCTTTAAAATGTTTTCCCCACCTGAAGAAATGGTAGAGAGTAAGGGGAAGGGAGAAATAGAGATGTAATAAAATCTTTTCCACCTTCTTTATCCTCTTCCACAGCATGTCTCAGAGGTTCAGTGTCGGAGCCAGTTCCTACAGGAAACTTGGGCTGTACTGGAAATGTCTCCACTTAGCCCTATAAGTAAGGATGGCACCCTTCAGGGTGCTTCAGAGGAAACAATGAATTTACCCAAGTGTCCTGAAGGAAACTGAAGTTACCCAAAGAGCTGAACTTTAAAATAAGGAGTAGCTAAGGTTTAGGTATGTTCTGTCTTGAACTCACGAGAGCTTCTAGCACTGTGTAATGTCTGTACACTGGCCTTAGCTACAGATAAGAAAGCCCAGGTGGAAGTCACAGCAGCCACGAGTGGGCTGAAAGGCTCTTTCTGACTCACTGGGGTCCCAGGAATAGCCAGAGGTGAAAAGATCTGCCTCTTCCACTACATATTTGCACAAACCATGGTATCTGTTTTCTGAGCCAAATTTCCAAAGAATTCTCTGAAAACTACAAATGCCCCTCTTGTGGACTGTTTTAAAATAAATTTATCTTTATGTATTTGAACAATAGCCGTAGATGTGCCTCTTCTCTATAGATTTTTCTCTCTCACACACATACACACGTAAACACACACATATACACCAGAGTCTGTGTGGTGGGCCAGTCATACCAAAAATAAATACTCTCACTTCTCTAAATTATTTATAGAACTAATCTTATTTTTGAAATATGTTAATAAATAATCTAAATGGGGGAGAGAGTTGAAGTGTTTTTTCTTTTTTTACTTATGTTGATGGATAGCCACAAAGCATAATCATTTTATTTACAAAAAAACAAAACCCCCAAACCTAAAAAACCCCCCAAAATCAAACATCCTCTGTAAATATAGTTTTTAAGTGATGAGTAAGGTACTATACCATCGGCCCCTGTTTGGTTATGTCCGTCATGTTAGTCACTCAGCAGTAGCCATTCCATGAATTCCTCATGGGTAGTGCAACAGTTAAAAAGTGTATAAAACATTATACATATAAAGACTCTCACATCCTTTGGATGTTTGCAGTTCATAACTTTGTGGTTACCTTTCTGCAACATAAATTAAAAAAAATTACGCACACACACACTCTCACACAGACCCATATATAGAAACTCATCAATCCAGTCACACACCATCCAGAGGAGTGCATGGGACTAAGTTCCATGATGCACGAAGGAGGTGGTCCTATCCTCAGGGCAGCCCATCATCTTCAAGGCTTAATGCCACTCGCTGGGGAGACAGATCAAAGGAATCATTATTAGATCCAGAAGAGCTACTATTTATTTAGTGTCAACAAAGTACCAGACATATTATTAATTTATGGGTATTAGCTCACATAATCTTCAAACCATTCCCAAAGACAAGATTTATATTTATTTTACAGATGAGAAAACTGAGAATCAATGAGTTTAAGTAATGTTTGTCCTGGATCACATAGCAAGTGGCTGAACTAAAATTTGATTCCAGGTCTCTGTGAATCCAGAGCTGTAGCTTTTTTCATCACTCTTTTCTCTCTTTGTAAAGGAGGGATGCAGAGATGTAAACTTTCTCAGTCCTGCCTTACAGGATTTTAGGTTTGGTCAACTTGTGTGAGTTAGCTTTGTCAAATGCTACCTGTCTCCAGCATTCTAATTACAATTGGGTAGGTAATATGCTGCACCCCTCCCAACTGATTAAACAGAATTGAAAGGCAATGCAGGTCAGTTAAATTCAATCCCTCTTTCTCTCCCCCCTACTTTCCAGTTATTAGATGCTAGACTCCACCTCTGCCACAAGTGGCTGACCACTAGATGGTGAGCCCACTAACCCCAGAGGCAGTATATTCCAGTGTGAACAGTGAATTTAAATTCTTTCCTATATTGATGTGGAATCTGTTTTATTATATATATCTTCTGATGTTCCCTAATTCTATCTCTTAACTCAAAGAGAATTCTACACAGGACAACCTGTGAAATTTATAGATGGTGTCTGAATTCCCTCACTCCATTCTGAGTGTTTTCTTCTCCAGGATACACATCTAGCTTTTCCCAACTGGTCCTGATGTAATCTTGTTTGCTGCTCTTCCATTTCCTGGATACTCTCTTTTGGACAGACCCTTATTTCAGTATCTTTCTCATAGCTATGTGAATTTGGGCTAGGCACTTCACTACGCTGAGCCTTAGTTTCATCATCTGTCAAATGGGAATAATAGGACCTACCTCATAGGATTGTTGGAGAATGAAATAATAACACATGTGAAGTGTTTAATACTTGTATAGTACCTAACACACGGGGTCCAGAGTTTTCTAGATCAACCTGACAAGCATAAAATGATGAAAAGTAACTCTACTGCCTTTCAAGTCCAGCCACCCTCTCACTCTCCCCAAGATAGATGTCTAGGCCAAAGGTAGGCCGTAGTAGTGATGGTAGAGCTACCTGAGAAAGTGACAGAGAAGAGAACAGATTATTGAGAATACAGATTTCTAGACCTTCAAAGATATTTACCCATGATAAAATGGAAGGAGCATGGGCTTTTGTATACATACAGATTGGAGTTTGAATCCTGGTTTTGCCACTTCGTGGATATGACTTTAGGCAAGTTATTCAATTTCTATGAGTCTCAGTTTCCTCATCTGCAAAACAGGGCTAATGATATCAACTTTGTAAGGTTATTGTGAAGATCAGATGAGAAAATGTATATAAAACACTCAAGAGTGTCTGACACATAGTAGGTGCTCACTAAATGTTGATTTCCTCACTCTACTATATTTCTCTGCAACTGGCAGGACCTTATTACTTGGGCCTTATGCTCATCAGGAGTAACTCCCCCCCCCCCCCCAAGGGGCCGCCCCCGGCCCCCCTTGGGGGGGGGGGGGGAG